CTGGGCTAACCATTTAAATATTCTGAATTTTCCGGAGATACATCTCCAAACGCTACAACACAGACACCCCAGTAGAATCATACCAGATTGGAGGGGATGTTAAATAGAGGTCAATACATCTAGACTAATAAAAACATTAGCATAGAAGGCTTCACTTGCAACAACAGCTTAGTAAACCCTCAGACACTGTATCACTGTATCACTGTCACCCCGTTGTTCATCGATTTCCTTGAGCAGGCACCAGTAACGTCGTCTCCATTCATCCTAGCCCTGAGATTTTCACAAGTGCACATTGGAGGCTCTCTCAGGGTCAGGGGAATGAGACCCATCATTGTTACTGGGTATTGGCATATCGAATATGCCACGGGGAGCTTTCCAGACTCTGCTGTGCAGGCAGGATACTCTCAGTAGCCTGCTGGGTTCTCCGAGAGTGAGAACTGGACAATAAGAGGTCCGGGAGCTTGGTTTTATAGTCTCTGGGTCTTGGCCTTTGATGGGATTACACTGCACCGGGGGCAGTTGGTGGGTGTAATGCCTAGCTACTGGAAGATGGGGGATCTGGGTGGAGGAGGCCCAGTCCCGATCTGAGCAGCCTTGGAGATCTCAGCCCCGGGTCCCGCATACCTGGGTTCCTCTGCCGGTTCCTTCATGTCTTCTTCAGAAAAGGAAGCACTTAATGTAGGACTTAATGATAAGATATAGCAATTTTCACAAGTTGTCTTCTACAGAAACATTTTTTGGATCATTTCATTGGCCATTGGAGTGGTCATAAGCAATATAAAATAAATTGCTGTGGGCCTGCTAAGGGGGCAGGTTGAGGGCAGGTGGGAAAATGGAGACAGTGGTGGAGGAAAGGTGGCTGTGGATTGGTGCTGAATATTGAAATATTGAATGCCTGTGACAAATTATCATGAACAACTCTGTAAACCATGGAGTTGAAATAAAGTGACAGGGGTGGAGGGAAGACTAGCTTCTATGAGACCATTTTTTAGCTCTCTGGTGCTCACCACTGAATTGAGTTTATAACACCAAGTTAAAACACTGGAAGGGCTGAGAGATAACCCAGGTTTGAGGCACTTGTCCTGCACCCCACCGCTTACCCTGGTTCAGTCCTCCACACCACACACAGTCCCCTGAACACTGCCAGGAGTGATCTGTGACATAGAGCCAGAAGTAACCACTGAACACTTCTGGTGGTCAAAAACCAAAAAATTTTGGTGACCTAAAAAACAACAACAACAACAAACAACCCACCCATCAGATGTGATTTTCTTCTATATACAAATTTCCCATTTACCAGAGATGAAATTATTTTCTTCACTATAAAAAGAAACTACAGAAATGTTTCCCACGTGGGATTTGTCCCCCTCATAAATCTGGGTTCAAATTCGGCTCCAGAGTTCTCTGCAAAGGGGAATGAGATGTTGAAGACTCCTGCATAAGCCTTTCCCCTGGAACCTCACATATGTGGGTGCTGAGATGACACCCTGCAAAATCCACTCTCAGAGATAAGTGGACTCATACAAAGAAAAGAGAAGGGGCACAGGGGTGGTAGTACAGCATGTAGAGCATTTGCTGTGCATGTGACTGACCTGGGCTCCACTTCCAGCACTACATATGGTCCTCTGGGCACTGCCAGGAGTGAGCCCTGACCACAGAGCCAGGTGTTAGCCCTGAGTGCTGGCTGGTCTGCCGCCTCCCAAGCCCCCCCAAAATGACAAATGCATCTACTTGGAAGTATTCCTTCCAAAGTAAAGTCTGCTGGTAGTTATTAAGGTGCTAACGCGTCAGGTGGTGTCACATACTGTAACAAACCTTGACATGGTTTTTCTAGAGATTCTCACTCGCCCGCTGAGACCCACGGGAAACTGACCCTAGGCAGAGCGAGCCTCTAAGAGAACAGTTTGTGTAGAGACCAACTGAGTAAGCCTGAGTAAATCACTTTGAAACAGAGTCACTAAGGCTTAGCAAAGAGAAATAACTTGCCAAGGAGTCATGATTTGCACCCCATCACATCTATGTTTATTGTTTTTATGCTTTATTTATTTACTTATTTATTTATTTTTGGTGTTGGGGACTGAACCCAGGGTCTCAGACATGCAAGGCATGTGCCTTACCACTGGGCGTATCCCAAGCCCACTTACGCATTCTCTATGTATATTTATTTTGGGGTTTGGGGGCCATATCTGGCAGTGCTTGGACAATCTCCTAGTATGCTGCTCACGGGTTGCTCCAGGTAGTACTCGGAGGTCACCCCCAACAGTGGTCGGGAGATCATGCGGTAATGGGGATTCGACCTGGGCTCTTGTATGCAACGCATATGCTATTCTCCACTCCCTGCCTTTATTTTCGGAAAGGTAAAACCAGGGGGGAGTAGAGGAGGGTTGCCCTCTAGCTCTTTTCTTGCTTGAATGAAGACAGAACAGCTGCACGGCCAACAGAAGGGCTAAATTCAGAGAGAGAGTCCAAGGAAGGAACAGCACAGTGCAATGAGGAAAGACGTGCGTATTGCTTTTTCACCCAGGAGAGCCCTTCCAATCTCCAGTCTAGGAAACAGAGATGAGAAGTTTGTCAGGAAGGAAGTGGGATTTAGTGAATGGTCAACTACAGTTGCCAGGCACAATGCTGGGCGCCTCTTGAGATGCAGCCAATAACTGAAAGGAGAAGTATAAATCCAAGCGTGTCTTCCGGCCAGCAGTCATTGTCCTGCTTGACGTTCCATTTTGTATTGGGTCTGTAAAAACCTCCCATTTTCTCTGCTGCTATTGCTCATTTGTTACCTATATCTAATAAAATGCTAGACAGAGAAATAAAATACCAATGCTCCTGTTTCTCGGAACCTCAAAGGACATTCTATCTTGAGGCTTAATAAGGTCAAGTGAATAGAACTAGAATTTTGATGTTCCAAATGACAGCCTTTGGAATATTTCCATATACCATGTAAGACAGGAAATCAGTGTCTAGGTACACAGAGCATGCCAGAATGACTTAATATACATGGTTCCCTAGATCACTATAAGTCAGAATTCGCATGGATCTAAGTGAAAGGAGTTTGGATGAAGATGTACCAAGGGGAGTCCAGTTTGTCTCAGTGGCTAGAGCTTAGATCTGGAAGTCTGTAAGGCCTGGGTTTTAGCCCAAGTTAAGCCACTTAGTTTTATAGTTTGTTTGTTTTTTTTGGGGGGGGGTTACTTTTTGGGTCACATCCGGCGATGCACAGGGTTTACTCCTGGCTCATGCACTCAGGAATTACTCCTGACGGTACTCAGGAGACCACATGGGATGCTGGGAATTGAAACAGGGTTGGCCGAGTGCAAGGCAAACACCCTGCCCGCTATGCTATCACTCCAGTCCCAGTTTCACAGTATTAAGTAAGGTATTTATGTAATTATGATGGCTAAATAATGCAGATAATAACAGCACTCAAGAATATAGAGTCTTGTGAATATTGAATACAAATATATGTACAAATTGGTAGCACATAGTTCCAGTGTTAGAAATGACTACAGCAAATTAATCCTATTTTCCTCATTATTACCACCACTATCACTTTTTTCCTTTCTTTTCCTTTTTCGGGGGGCGTGGGGTGGGGGAGAGGGAGGTCATATCCTGCTGAGTTCAGAAGCGACACCAGATGTGGTTCTTGAAGATCAGTTCAAGAGTTTTTCGGAGACCATGAGGTGCTAGGGTGGAGCTCAAGTCCCCCCACATACAAATCATGCACTCAGCTTTGAACCACCTCCTCGGTGCCACCATCATTTCTCTCATCTTTGAATACGTCTCCAAGCAGCAGCCAGAGAAAATGAACCCAAAGCGAGGAACACACACGGCCACACCTTTGATTCTATTTCTGCAATGGGCACACTAATATTATGAGCCCAAGTGGGTCTTTGTCAGGATGTGAGATAACAGAAGGACAAGGGAAGCCACTCCAGGGTGACAAAGGACATTGCTTCTCGGATGGGCAGAGGCTTGTTTAAAGCACTGATATGCAGTGCTTCTGTGAGTCAGCTGCCCAGAGAGCCCGAGTGTTAGAGGATCTTATCCAGGAGTCCTGGGAGCACCCTGGGTAAATAAAAAAGAGCTGAGAAGTCAGACACGGGCTGATACTGAATCCCAGAATGAGCGTGCACTTGGCTAGCTCAGCAGTGAAAGGGGCTGTGGAGGGTGGATGGGGCCTCTGTTAGCACCCGCTCTGTTTCATTTTGCATTGCAATTGGCCTCTCGTCTTTGTTTTCCTCCTCCAGGCTGTGAGTGCTCTGAATGAAGGCACGGGATATAGTTATTTCTTCTTCTGAGCCCAGTCAAAACAGACAACTCAGTGAATGGTTGAACAAGCAAATCGATATCAAGCTCTGACAAACTTGAAACAGAAATCCTGACTTTCAGCTTAGGGAAATGAGAATAACCTTTCAGATGACTACTGAGATGGTCCGGAGAGCAATTTGCAGAGGACCAGTCTTCTTCTCGGGTTCTCTTATCTTTATCTTGTTCTTAAATAAGGAACCAGTGTAGCCTTAACCTAAATCACCAAGGTCATAGACATTAACCGTTTCCTGACGACCAGTTCACAAGTTTTTCTTGGCTTTAATACTTCCCCTCCAACTGAACGCTAATGCAAGAAAAACAAATATCATATCTAATGACTAGTTCACATTCCAAAGAGAACTTTGATATAGACTCACAACATAAGGTTGAAAACAATCAAATTACTTTTCAACATTTCTGAGTTGATACGAAAAGTCGGCCCTATTCTCTTACTGCGTTTTCATGTGATTTGAGTTCCTAAATTAACTTGAGAGATTGGTTTCCACTCAAGCAGCAAATAACGTTTATAAGCAACGGTAGTTTTGAAAATCATTTTAAATAGTTGAAGGAAATACAGTTTGTCAACATCCCCCTCCCAGCCACCCCCTACACTGTCACCTTGTTTTTCTGTATACTTTTCTCTTCACCCCCTCACTCTACTAAAAGAGAATGAAAAACATAGAGCCCCTCACCTCTAACAGTTCGTCTCCAATCCTCATCCGTCCATCCATGGCAGCAGGTCCTTCCGGGTTAATTCCTACCACAAAGATACTCATGCGTGACCTGTCCTTATTGCCAGCAAGACTGAGTCCAAGTCCATTCTTATCCTTTTCAAGTTCAATGATGTGCAATTCTCCCGGCAGGTCTGCATATCTCTGCCTGATTTTTTCTATTAAAAAAGAAAAAGGCAAACAAAATATATAAATAGAGCCGTTGAATAGATATCATAGAGATGACAGCATTTTCCCATCCTTGCTGTATTTTCCCATTCATGCTTCTGAGAATGAAGTATTTGAGGGTTTTTGTAGTCTTATGTAAAGGTTACAGTTGTTATTTTTTTAAAAAATTTTTAAAAAATTTAAAATTTTAAAAATTAAATTTTTTTTTAAAAAATCCAGTTTTCATCATTTAAGAGGTGGAAATACTTTCCCTATATTATGTTCTTAACTAACATGCGATAGGAGATCTGGTTTCCCTGTCCCACTCCAAAAGGCAAAACAAAGTGAGGGGAGGAGATCAGGATGGGGACCAAAGACTATTTTCTGGGTGCCAATGTATGCCAAGCGAAGTTTGATCCTGGAGCTAGCACTCTGAATCAAGCAGATGGGATTCTTCAAGTATTCTAGACTTCAGCCCAGAGAGGAACAGAATCAGCAATGAATTCTCATTTATTATACTTCTGGAAAAAGACACAAGGAATATTGGGTGAGGGGAAAACAAGGACAATTAAGAACATTGGCCTAATGGTCAGAGCTGCATTAAGTCTACAAATCTGTCACATACTAAATATCCAAACATTTTCTCTTATGGGATTTCACTTCTTCATCTGGGATGTTGAGAAAATGAGACAAAATTCATCTTCAAGAAGAATAAAGCCTTCTGCTATCATTCTTTTATTCCATCTCCTGTCTCAACTTATTGCTGCTGATTTGGCTGACTATGCTTCATTTGTGTGGATTTAGTGCCTGGGTGGTCACACAGCAGGTCAGTATTGGGAGTGATGAAGCTTTTTATTTAATTAAATTAAATTAATTAATTTATTTATTCCATAGCACAGCAGGTATGGCATTTGCCTTGCATGTGGCCGACCTGGGTTCAATACCTCCGTCCCTCTCAGAGAGTCCGGCAAGCTACCGAGAATATCCAGCCTGCACAGCAGAGCCTGGCAAACTCCCTGTGGCGTATTTGATATGCCAAAAACAGTAACAACAAGTCTCACAATAGAGACATTACTGGTGCCCGCTTGAACAAATTGATGAACAATGGGAGGACAGTGCTACTTATTCATTTATTTATTTATTTGGCTTTTTGGGTCACACCGGTGATGCGCAAGGGTCACTCCTGGCTTTGCTTTGCACTAAGGAATTATTCCTGGTGGTGCTCAGGGGACCATATGGGACCATATGGGATGCTGGGAATTAAACCCGGGTTGGCTGCATGCAAGGCAACATACCTACCCACTGTACTGTAGCTCTAGCCCTTGGTGAAGCTTTAAGCATGTACCAGCAGTCCACATGCTACCAGCTCAGCTCTGGTGTGCTACCATGCTCACATTTCAGTGCAGACTACTGTGGGCTCATATAGTCATCTCATCAGCTGAAAACGAATCAGCAGATCCTGACTATTTACATCTCTTTATACTCCATCTAATGCTTAGTTTATGTTCGTTGTGCTGAGAGGGGACCTTGCAAATGGAAAGCTTAATTCAAAGAATGATTCTTTAGGCCATGGGAGGTGGGGGGTGGGACACAGTGGGGAGAGAGCTTAATCCTGTATATCACTTTACCAGACTTATCAAACACTATCTAATAAGAGAGTACATAATTGCATACTTGTAAAAATTGCTTTATGTATACTTGTATATTAAAAGAATAAGCAATACATGACTGCTTACTTTAAAAAAAACAAAACAAGTCGATCTGCTTTATAAGGACTCTGAATGGTAGCACTGTAGCACTGTCATCCCGTTGTTCATCGATTTGCTCTAGCAGGCACCAGTAACATCTCACAACAAATTGTGAGACTTGTTACTGTTTTTGGCATATCGAATACGTCACGGATAGCTTGCCAGGCTTTGCCGTGCAGGCGAGATACTCTCGATAGCTTGCAGGACTCTCCGAGAGGGGCAGAGGAATCGAACCCGGGTCAGCCACATGCAAAGCAAATGTCCTACCCACCGTGCTATTGCTCCAGCCCTTTGTAGAGTAAAGAAACTTTACTGAAAAAGAGTAGAGTTAGTGAAATAAAGAACTTGCAATATATAAAACTATCCTCATATACGAAAAATCCTTAAGTAATATAAACCACAAAATAAAAACACAGTCATTTTTTATTGGTCAACAACCAAGGCACTGTGAGGGTACTTTATTATATTTTTTTCACTGAAAATTTAATTGCTTTGACCCAAAGGTATGTGAAATTTTTGTCCGACTCTCACCATCTCTATAAGTATATAATATTGATATAATGAGAAAAAGGCTTACAATTTATCATGAACATCAAGATGCTTGTGCTACATAATAGGAAAGGTGAACATTAACACAACAAACATTAAATAACTGCAATGATTGAAATAGATGTGCTAGTTGCCACAGTACAAGCAATTCAACACTGTGTTTATAGTGATGTAGATCGGTAAATAACAGTAAATTAAATGTGCTAGCCTACCCTGCTTTCCAGAGTCCCCAGAGCAAACAGGGCAGCTAGAAGAGATTTCTCAGTAAAAGCAGAATTTGAGCAGAGTTTTGATAATGTGCAGAAATTGGTTACAGGAAAAAGAATGCAAGAAGGGAGAAGAGGAGAGAGTGTGAGGCAATCTGGCAGCAAAATGAAAATCTTTGGGGCCCCAAGTGGGTGACAAGAAATCAGAGCAAAACGTTACAAGGTAGTGTACAGTTTACAGAAATAACATCCCAATTTGGGAGCACTGCAGAGGTTCTGTGTCCCCATGGGGCCTGGGAATACCTCATGTAAGAGATCTCATCTCCCAGGTTCCACAGTTACACTTCCCTCTATTTATGGGACTTACAGGGTAGCGGGGGGAGTCTGTATACTATATTAAGAAGGCAGAATGAAATAAAAACGGCAAGTTTCCCCTCTCAGAAGTCACTACAGTAGATTTTTGTTGTTGTTGTTTTTAGACCACACTTGCCATCTCAGGGATTACTCTTGGCTCTGAGCTCAGAAATTACCCAGGAGATGCTCAGGGACCATGTGGGATGCCGTGAAACAAACCCGGGTCAGCTCTGTGCAAGGCAAATGCCCTACCGGCTGTCCTATCTCTCCAGGCCCAGCCATTGCAGTGGAAAACAATTTGTTTCAAGAAGATTCTGGACTGGAACAACAAGATTAACTCAAAGACTTAGATACGAATTCTTAATTCAAGAATGAGCCTTCAGGCCTTCGGAGTCTTCAGTCTCCATCTGGCAGAAAACACAAATTTTTGGGGAATCATAAGGCAATAATGGGCTATAAAAGAAACTTCTGTAACTCTCAAGAATTATCCTGCAGGCTGTGTCTTTCAACCCAGAACAATAAAACTAGGGGCAAGAACACTTGTATTTAGTAATAAATCAATTTGAAAGAAAAAGATAAAAGTAAAGAAACAGTATTCATAATTAGTTGTTGTCCTAAATTTTGTCTAGACTTTTATGTAGACATAGAAAAAGAAGAATTTAGAATCTGGAATTATTTTTCAGAAAAAAAGTTAAAAAAATTTTCTAAACTTTATACCCAAGAATGTGCGGGGAAAAAACTGCCTAAAAAATTGTAAAGAAACAAGTAGAGAAAATAGCAGAGATAGAGGCATCAGTTCATGAAAAGAGAACTATTGCCACCAAACAAGAAAACACACACACACACACACACACACACACACATACACACACACACACCACTACAATTTAAAATAAATGAAATTAAAACAAAATTATCTAAAAACACTAAGAAAGACTACAAAAACTAATCAAGGAAAAATAGAATGGTACAAATACACAACTAGAAAGAGAAAAGAATTGAAAACTGGTTTTAAAATTATGGTCTATCAAGACGAGCTGAAAGGTGATCCATTATTTTTGGCCACACCTGCTGTCACTCAGGGCGTATTACTGCTGGTGAGGCTCAAGGGGCCGTAGGTGGTGCTAGGGATGGATCCCAGATCGGCTGTGTACAAGGCAAAGCCCCTACCTGCCTTATTATCTCTCCAGTCTTTTCATTTAAATTTAGATGACAGATTCATTTTTAATCTTTAATTTCTGAGGAAATTTAAAATGCCATGTTTAGCACAAGAAAAATGGACTCATTGTTAAAGAAACGGAAATAATAATAAAAACATATTCCCTTAAAAATGAATCTTTGTCAGAACTGGAGAGACAGTACAGTGGGTAAAGCACACAGCCAACTGGGTTTGATCCCCAGAAGTCCATACGGTCCCTTAAGCACTGTCAGGAGTGATCCCCAAGCACAGAGCTACCCGTAAGGCTAGATCTGCCAACCTTCTGAAATCTTGTTCTAGATATTTTTGCATTTGAATTCCATCGAATTTCAAATTGTAATATTTTATCTTAAGTAAGTTCCTTCAAAACATGAAAAATGGAAAAAAGGGACTCTACATTATTATTATTATTATTATTATTATTATTATTATTATTATTTTGTCATCCTCAGTGGTGCTCAGAGGTTATTCTTGGTTCGGAACTTAGGAGTCACTTCTCGAAGTGCTCTAGGGACCATATGGAGTGCCGGGGATGGAACCCAGGTTTAGTCGCATGCAAGGCAAATGTCCTACCTGCTGTTCTATCACTCTGGCCCCTCTACCTTATTTCTTGAGGCTGGAATAGTTCTGAATTAAAAAATAAAAAAATTTAAGAAAAATATAGCCTTACGGCCAGAGAGATAATAAAGCAGGTAAGGTGCTTTCCTTGTACGTAGCTAATCTGGGTTCAATTCCCTGTATCACGTATGGTCCCCTGAGCACTGTCAGGAGTGATTCCTTAGCGTAGTGTCGGGCAAAACCCCTGAATATCACCAGGTGTGGTGCCCAGAATCCCCGCCCCTGCCAAAAAGAAAAGTATAGGCTTATTTAGCTTATGATCACAGCATATAAGATTTTTTAAAGCTAACTTAATTCATGAGGATATTAAAACCATTTAATTTGACTTCTGAAATAGG